CTTTGGAAAACCTCAGCTACGCGCCTGAGAGGTGAGAAATTTATCCAAGTAGTGACAGGAACTAATTCGACAGTGAAATAGGTTTGCAAATCTGTTCATTATTAGCTTCAAATTTCTTCGAGGTTTGTGTTACAGTGGGCAAAGTGTCTTCTATGGTATCCAGCGAATTCAGCAACTTACTTGCATGTAGTTATAAATCACACGATTTTGCTCTTCGCTGTTGTTGGTATTATTATTACTATTATTTTATCATTTGCTGTCAGATTTCAAGTGTTCTACACGATATCCCAGCCCATCCCCGAGTGGGACGGTTACGAAGGCCGTGTTTCCATGGAGATGCTCTTGGAGATTTTACCCTCTCCCCCTAGTGCAGGACATGAACGGGAGTTGCTGATTGCTGTGTGTGGTCCTGATGCCTTCACACAGCACATGGTCAGGTAAGAGGCCTATAATTTCTGAAATTGGGAAAGCTGTAGTTGATCTACCGACGAAACCACTGGTTTTTGCGCTAAACGACTTCTAAGGTAATGAGAGAAGAATTTCAAAACTGACGACGAGGCACTACCCAAATCTAATTCCTCTAATTAGCAGAAAATTTGCTTCATCCAATAAGCACTACCCGATCTGGGTAGTGACGCGTCATCAATATGGAATTTCTCTGCTCGTTCCTCAGGCGTCATTTCGCGGGGAAACCAGTGATGACGTCGCGAAATGTTGGCTGTTTTGTCAGGGTACAAAAGACCTTTTTACCGATACGGCTGCCATATTAAATTTATTAGATTTAAGGAGTATTATGGGATGCCCAGGGGGCACTTGCTCAGTATTTACGAGCGCTTTTCGGGCAAAAAGAGAACCTCAATGTATATTTCTCTGGAAAAAGGCGATCATTATTACATCCAAACACGGCACAACGATCTTTTTTTCCCATTCGATCTTTTTCTAGGAAAACTCAAAGAAAAATTGGCCCGAAAAGCACGCGTAAATACTGATGCGAGTACATCAGATCGTGCTCATGCCCCCTAGGCATCCCATAATACTCCTTAAATCCAATTAATTCAATATGGCTGCCGTATCGGTAAAAAGGTCTATTGATCAGATAGCTATTTTCGTTTCTTTTTTCGTGCTCTACAATTTATAAAGAAACCTTAAGGGAAGTTATGTGAACATTTTTTGTCAAAAGCCTTTATCATATGCCAATCATTATCAACTTCCGATGGCTTCAGATGGCACAGAAAAATTGCAAATCCACATATAAGAACTTTTTTTCTATTCTTTTATGAATAATTAAGGCTAAAATGTGTTTAAAAGTTCTTCTCTGGTAGTGAACAATGTACTTGGTGCTTTCCTTTACAGCATGCTGAAAGACCTCAGTTACAGCGGGAAGATGATCCATGCATTCCTCGGCTAATAATTGCTTAGCGTCAACACTGCGTCATCCGAAGCTGTAATTCGATTCAGCGAACATCTGAGGAAAGATGTAGGACCAGCCTTGAGTGTGTAATCACGCGCGCATGTTTCTAGTATGGTTACCGTGTCAACGTAAGGAACTCGTCAAGATTGTCTCTCGTGTATTTACCGTTTGAATGCTTAAGGTGGGCGCCAGTCGTTTGTCTCTGGTTGAAATTTATGTTCATGGATGTTATCATCTGTGAATCAGGCTGTCGTGGGCAAAGTAAAGGAACGATCCACGCTCACGTTACTCGCCTGCGTAGCAAGCGTTTCTATGCGGTTTAGGAGAAAAGAACGAGGAATAAGAGTCAAAGACCGCGCGAAAAAATGGCGCAAGGATCCTCCCCCTTTTGTTTTTTGGTTCTCGTTTAATTTCTCGCGCGATCAAAACTGAAAATCCCCTTCCACGGTCTCTTTTTGCTCCGAAACCGAACGGAAACGCTGGCTACGCAGGCTATCACGTTACAGACAAGTTTCACAAAGTGGTGCCGGGCTGATGTGTGATCGCCGTTCCTCTTTGTATTTCTCATTAATGAAGGCCTGTTAGGGAAAATTCGGACAACTAAGCGTCATGGTCTTGAAAGAACGACCTGGGAAATAGCGACATGAAATGGTGGTAAACGAGTCAGACGGCAAACCGTTACGATAGCAACGAGGCCAAATACAATGGTAAAATACTGACAGGGACATGGCTTTTTTCTTTCTTTCTTTGAAATTTCAGACTTATTTAATAATTCAATATGGCTTCTCTAAGACGTACAACCGCGGTCTCTTAGACTGCATGTAACGGATTTGTTCAAGTTCTTGGCTGATTATATCCGCCTACGTCCCTGATTACATTAGTAGACAACAGATCACATGGACCATTACACGATGGAATGGAAACTTTTAGGAACACCCC